ACTGATTTAGAGATATTATACTCTAATAAATATCAGATTCATTTTTATAAGCAACTTTATCGATTTGTAGCCGATTTGAGAGACTACACATTACTAAACTCAAATTCATTTTTATTTGATTATAGGGATTTATATAGGGTCATATCCCTTCGGATTTTATATTTACATGCATATGCACAGCGCCTTACAAAGTACCTTAATGGCTCGGCTAAATTGGTTTGTGACATGATGTATAACGTACCACAATGTGATCTCCTAAATCCCTGCCAGTTCCTCGATAGTTCTAGGAGTTCTAAAAATCACGAGATGATCGGCCAATCAGATTTCGTCTCACTTGATCCTTTCGAAAAAAAAAGAAACATTTTCTTGCTGACCATTGGTCAGGATGTCACATGATTTCTTATTTTTCTTCTCATTAGTTAAGTTATCGATTAATCATTATAGTATATTGATCAAATTAATTAATCACGCTATGATCTAACATATCACTTGATATTTCTGGAACTCTCTTACAATGTAAAAACTGGACTAATAACTAGGTTCACTTTCTCATTGACGAATGAAAGCTTAGTATCATGTTACTCCAAATAAAATAAAATGAAACGACTTTTTTGGGATGATGAGAATACGTTATTCTGATCAAGAGGAAAAAAATCACAAAATCTCATGCACGTTCCGTTTCGGAATGATCACTTCACTTTATTTTTCCTTATACGCCAGTACACCACATAAAAACGTATTCTTTATACAAGGCTGAATGTGTATTATAAGTACAGTATTAAACTTACTGTATATTTAGATATTATAAAAAATTTACAATGAATTTACATTAATAATGGGATGAAATAGCTGAACCGATCCTAATGAATCAATTTCTTCACTTGCGGAGATTCCGGAAGCTTACGCATAAAAGATACTTGTGCAGGTGGTGTAGTTTCACCGCTTGGATGTTTTCGATATTTATAATCCTCCGAAATTTTCCCAACCCGTTCCTGTAATTGTAAGGGCAAATATAAGCAATAAGCAAAATACCTTATTGTAATCTCAAAGAAAAGCATACCTACCTCTAAAACAACTAAATGACTTATTGCCGATTCAGCTAGCGGGATTGTGGTCTTGTCGGTCACAAGTCTGGTTGTTAAAAAAGGCCACGAACGATACAATCCATCATATTGCAAGTCCATGAAGAACGACTCCATTAACTCTCCTGGTTATCACAGAAATTAATAAATATATTATAAAAAGTAACAAAGTAAATACTATATATTACGAGCGTACATACCCATATTTAGAAATATCCCAGCTTCACCTGGTCCTCTCTTAGTACGAAGTTGTAGATTAATCGATTTTCGTGCCTTCAATTGTACTTTTAGTCTGTCCTTCTTTTGTTGCAATGGTGTATGACCTAGTGGTTTGATTTCTGAATTCAAAATCGATACACCGTCTACTGTGCAGGATAGATCCGGCCTTTTTTTTGAGCCCTTATCAGCGCGATTTAGTCTGAGCTCGTATTCTTTCTCGGGACCCGTAAAAAATGGTCGACTTATCGGATGAAGGAACATACAAGTATGTTCGTCTTCAGATAGTTTTATTGGGGCAACATCCGGGACACAATTGAATCTGTAATAAACAATATATAAGCAATAAATTTATAAATTATATATAATTTTATAGACTTACAAATCATTAAACGAGCACGCGACTGCTCTGCTCAAATCCGAACTTCCGCAATCCATAAAAATATTCTTATTAACTAAATGTCTACGAGTTGCATTGTAGAGTGATAATGAAATCTCATGCGAAAGTGGAGGTTCGTTTAAAACGTATGGGTTGACGTTTGTTATTTCCTTCCACTCTCGTTTCGTAAACATGGGGTACGGGCATGGCCAACAAAGTACCATAATCGATGATAACGCTCTAAATGCAATGAGAAAAGAAATTATAATATATCCTGTCATAATCATTTGCAAACATACTTCAGAAAACTTACAAAAGTTCGTAGATGTTATCATATTTCAAGCCTTCCCTCTCCGTCTTCGTGATCACTTCTTTTTGATATTGCCGAAATCGATCGGTTACGTTTATACAGCCAACTTCCCACTAAAAAACAAAAGCGAATTGTGAAATACGTTAAAAGAACAAAAATAGATTCGTCATACTTTGCATGTTGGTTCTTGTTCCAGCTCTATCGAAATATTTGCTAAATCAAACTTAATTTCTTCGTCGTCTTCAGCATTCTCAACAGATGGATCCTCGAAGGAAGACTTCTCGCTATTTCTTGATCGCGGATGCTCCACGCTATAAGTACTCTTCACGGTCTTTTTTGCCTAAATATAGAAAAATGTACATGAGCTTTTACATTCTTGTAGATTTTACCACCTATAATTTTTCACCTTTTTACGTGTAGAAACGTCTTCTTCGATTTCATTTCCTCGTTTATTGGGGGTTGGCAATCTTACATCTTCGTTTAAAATTTCTTGTAAATATGCATACTGTTCGCAGAAAAAAAGCATTAGGACAAGTAACTTTTGATATTTAAACATATTTTCAATGAAAATTATCATACCTCTTCCTCAGATACTAAAAACGGTTTATTTTCGGAACCATCTGCAAGACCTTCGGTATCACTTGCATTACAGAAGGATATGGGTTGTGAACCTAAGGAAAAAAATCCTGAATCATCGTTTTCTTCGGATACGACCTGGAAAAGATTTTCACATTAGCAATTATTCAGTCTTTTGATTGCTATGAATAGTCAGAACATCGTATTATCCGAACAATTTGTTTCAATATGAAACTGTACCTTGTCTTTCTCGTCATCCGCTTCGTTGAAACCCCGTTCATTGCTTGATTTTTGCTGTTTCTTGGCTGAGTTGTCCTTTTTTTGCAAAAACAGATTGGATGATTTTTTTTCGGAGGGGCTTTTAAAGAAATTATCTATCTCGTCACTTTCATCATGATCATCCTAACATTGAAATACAAAAATTAGTTCTTTTGGTTCTAATATTCTAGAAAAGATGCAAGTATATACGTTTTCTTAAAACCACCAATAACATTTACCTTGGGTTTGTCTTGTTCGAAGATAAATTTTGATACTCTTACATTTGCCTCTTCACAATTATCGTAGCTATTGCGAACTCTCTCTCCATGAGATTGTACTGACGTGTGAAGAGTGTGAAGACCTTCTTTGTCTGTCACTAACTTAGTTTCAATCTATGATTTTTTTAGAAATATTAATAAATATAATAAAATGAGATGCGCACAAATTCTACCTACTTTCATACGATCAAGAATAATCTCTCTCCAATACAAGCGGTTATTCTCAGAATTAACCTTGAAACTAAGCAATAATGGCAACGTTAGAAATCAAACATCATTGGAAAAAGATAAACATATTAACCATAAATATGAGAAGACTCGCAACTAATGACAACTAGGTAGTCACCTAATGCTCCTAAATCAGGTAGTCACCTGTTTGGAGTGTCATCATTGGTCACTCGAGATAATGATAACTAGGTAGTCACCTAATGCTCCTAAATCAGGTAGTCACCTGTTTGGAGTGTTATCATTACCCCTCGAAAAACCGAAAAAACACCGGAAAAATATACCTTTGTTTCCAAAGCAATCTTCTCGTTTCGTTCTTGGACTGCCCATACAAACCTCCTCGTCCACAATCCATCAAGAGCGTGCCAGTCGTCATGGAATGGAGGGGTTGTAAGAATTTTATCACGGTAAAGCAACAGAAACCGGGAAAGGGACCATTCTTCCGGTTTGTGACTATCTAAGTATTCAAGAAGCTCTGCAAGTCAAAGTAGAAGAAATATAAAATTAATAAACGCAGGATAAAAGTGTCATTTACACGTTCAAAAAAATATTACCTTTATTTCCTTGATAATATTGCGACATGATACTGGGAATTTTGTGTGAGGACGGGTTGTGTAGTTTAAATATCATCAGTTGAAATACGATTATCACGTGCTAGAGGTAGCACAAAGATTTAAGAAGTTTGACGCTTAATTTTTTCGATTGATTGGTAGAAATGTCATCCTGCGGGTGGCGCAGTCTGATGTATAAAGTGTATTCGTAATTTACAAGTGTTTATGTATAATGACAAGACGAAAAGTATATTTGAGAATGTATATACAAATAAAACACGCTTGCCGAGCCTTAATCCATGTAGTGGGCAGTTCCTTTACCTGAATGTAAATGTGATTACATATTAATAAAAGATACAGTATTAGGATTATATCAAATGGAAGTATAAAACGGGAATCATTTTAATTCTTCGATTGTTTACACGCATAATGACGCTATTATGTATTTCCCTCAAATAATCGGGAATCATTTAGTTTACTATCATGAGAGTTAATAATCATCTGAATAACACATGTATTGATTTATATTTACATTCGCAAAACGCACACATTTTAAAAATCAATCAAAACATTCTTTATTGTAAAGTAATACATGAGAAAGGGCCGGCCGGCTAAGTAAAAATGAAAGTAGAAAACAATAGAGTAGCAGGTTGTTTCAAGGGAGGAATAAAGCATAAATGCCTGCTGAACCCTAACCCATATATTGGCAGTTCCTTCCCCGCTACTCAGAAGCGTGGTGTAATTTTATTATCTATCCAAGCACCTATTTTTTCTAAATTTCCGCTATTTAAATTTTCCCCATTGTAAAAACCC